GAGATAACAAAAGAATTAGATAAAACTAACAATTATCCATTCTTACAAAAGCAAGTTATATACCCAATATCAGGCAGCTTTGCAATACTTATAATAAGTATCATAGTAATAATATTATGGCGAGCCCACAAAAATTGTAAACGTACACCACGCGTAGAATAAAAGAAAATTGTAAACAGAGTCTCACATACAGTCTCAAATAGAAAACGTCACTACCCTTCCGTTTTCTCCTCCGAAAGGGGAGGGATGTCGTAACTCGAAATCGAATAACGTAATTACCTTTTTTTTGTAACGGAGGTGAAATGCCTTTATGCATACCCCGCCTCGATGAGGTTCGAGGCGGGGCTATGTGGGACTAACCCCCAGCCTAAACAAACGGCCGGGGGACTACCCACTAAAACCCCTCCGGGTGGTCTAAGCCCGGACGTTAAAGAAGGCCTCTCCGGAAACTGGCTGTAGCACTACCTCGGAGAGGCCTTCCGCCTGCGAGCCTGTCGCTAGGGGGGAGCATTGTTCTCCCCCCCAGAGTCCCCATTGTCTTGGGGACTCCCATTCACGTTGGTGAGAGGGGGGCCACCAACCCTCTCTTCCACTTCCCGCCGATGGCGTTGCGGGGATGACGTGGCCGGGCCCGGGTACTCCACCCGGGTCGCCGGCCACCAGGCCCGGGTACCCCACCCGGGTCGCCGGCCACCGGGCCCGCACTGGTTGCGGGCCCTGCGCGTTGGCAGGGGGAGTTGGCATGGACCGGAGCCAATAGGCCCCCGGTCCCCCCCCCCCCCGCCCGCGTCACCCCGTTGGGGGGTGGTCTCGTAAGCCGCAGGGGACAATTGTCCCCGCGCCCAGCAACCCCCCCACCCACCGTTGGGACCTCCTGGCGCGGCGTTGTGTCGCCGCGCCTCTGCGGCCGGATGACGTGGAGGGTCGGCGGGTCCCGCCCGAAGGCGCTCCCCGCACACCTCTCCCGCCCCCAGCCGCTCCATCTTGCAGAGGGACTCCCCGGCGGACGCCGGGGATTCTCCCTTTCTCTCTCGGCCCCCTCCTTCCGCGACATGATTGCTTCGCAGAAGAAGGAGACCGCCTTCCAAGATCCCTCGCTCTCGAGCATTGCCGCAATGATGCCCGAGAGCGAGAGGTCGCCACTCCCCCCCCAGTTGTTGCACGAAGACACGGCGCTCGTCCGCCCATGCTGGGCAGAACTCTAAAGTGTGTTGCGCCGTGTCCTCGTCCTCCCCGCAGTGGTGGCAGCGCGCGTCCACTTCGCGACCGATACGGCACAGGTAAGAGCCAAAACATCCATGGCCCGTAAAAATACCTGTGCCATACGGTATGACATCTCGCCGCCCGCCCTTTCCGCCCATTTGATTAGGCGGGGGCGGACGGCCTCGACGACGCGTGCCCGCGAGTTATCACGGGGGTTGGAGAGATCCTCCAACCATCTCTCCAGCATGCGCCGCCGAGCCTGGAGCCTAACGGCAGCCCTGACCCGCGGGATCAGAACTACGCCGAGCCCACCGAGCTCTTTTGTACGCCTGTACACCTCTGTGTGCATTAAAGCGTACAACTCGATGGGCGGCAATCCCGCAAGCACTGAGGCCGCCGTGTGCGACACCGTCCGGTAACCGCGGATCACCCTGATGACCACCCGCCGGAATATGCGGCGCAGCAACATCTTGCCGCGCCGGCTTGCCATCAGGGCGCCCGCCCATACCGGTGACCCATAAAGGGCCACTGCGCGGACGGTCATCGCATATAGGCGGCGCACCTTCCCGTCCGGACCCCCCAAGTTGGGCAGGAGGCGGCTCAGAGAGTGAACCACTGCCTCTACCCTGGGGGCCAGACGTTGGAAGTGCCCGTTGAAGCTCCAGGTGTTGTCCAGGTAGAGACCCAGATACTTCAATTGGGTCCCCACCCGGACAGAGGTGCCATCCACCACGACATAGGCCGCATCCGGGGGGGCTCCGTGCATATGGTTCCGCTTCCCCCGGCGGAGGAAGAGCGCCTCAGATTTATGAGGCGCCACCTCCAGGCCCATGCCGTGGATTGCGCGGACGACGCACGCTACCGCCATGTTGACCGCTCCAACGGCTTCCCCCCAGCTATCCCCCCCGGCCAGCACTAAAGTGTCATCGGCATAGCCGACGACGCTACAACCCGACCACTCTGCCCTCCTCCATAATGGACTCCGCGAGGGATCTGACGCGGAAGATCGCATCGATTGTTGATCTTCCCTCGCGCAATCCAAATTGATCCTGGTGGAGATCCATTCCCTCCCGGGACAGATGCCGGACGAGGCGGTCTACCAGCAAGCGTTCCAACAACTTGCCCGCCTCGTCCAGCAGGCAAATTGGCCGGTAGACGGAAGGGGAATTCCCAGGCCTGCCCACCTTGGGGATGAGGACCAATTTGGCCCTTACCCAAGCTGGGGGGGGGGGACCCTGCCTGAGGCAGCCCGTGGAGAGCCGCCTCAAGCGCTCGGACAGGTGGGCCAAGGCAATGACCCAGACTCGGCCGGGGATACCGTCGGGGCCCGGGGGCCTATTGCCCCGTAGCCCCAATCGGCGGATTACCCCGGCCATTTCGTCCTCTGTCACCTCCAGGTCCTCTCGGAAGCACCCATACGCCGTGGCCGTCCTCTCGGCGTCGTTACGACGCCGAGCCCGGGTGAAACGGCGTCTGGCGGCTATCGAGGATCGCCGTAATTTGGCGATCTCCTCGCATCACCAGTATGCCGCCCTGCGCGGGCGGGGGTTGGTCCGGGGCATCGCGAAATCACACGCGTCGCGTAATGCGCCCCGGAACCAATCTACCTCTTCCTGAATTCCCCGCCCTTCACCTCCAGGGCACGGCCAGTCGGCCGCGAGGACGGCCGCGATTAGCCTGTCCGAGTTTAGCCTCTTTAGGGCCCATCTCCGTGGCTGGGCATCTCCCCGGCCCTGGGAGCGGCTGAGCACCCCATGGGCGGGTGGCGGTAAGGACCACCTCAATATAGAGGTGTTCCGAGAGCGTTTCGCACTCCGTCGCCACCCGCCAACTGCTAACCATCTGCGCGGCGGCAGGAGTAGACCAGGATAAATCCGGGACCGACTGACACCGCACGAGGGTGCTCCTCGACTCCGTGTTCAGCAAACACAGGCCGAGTGCCGCCGTCCAATCCTGCAGGGCCTCGCCCCTGGCGTTCATAGTCCGGAAACCCCAACGCGTAGACTTCGCGTTGAAGTCCCCAGCCACCAACACGGGACGGGGAAAAGAGACGGAACGTGACCTCATATTATCTGCCTCTCACTCTACTCGTGCGGTTACCCCTTCCACTGCCATCAACAGTCCATTCTATATGTCGATGTAAATAATACTCACAGCCAGTACACAGAACTTGTAATGTAGCTGCTGGCAGATCTGTTAATAAATTCCTTCCAATCAATGACTATGGGTGCTTTCCAGCTACGGAACACAGTGATACACTATGTGACACAGTGTTATACAATGTCGACTTATAGCTGGAACTCTGTTCCGATGTATATACTCAATATGTGTGTATATCAACGATTTGAGCAGCTATAAAGAAGATCAACGATTTGTAATAATAATTTAAACTCGCAGAAGATATTTTCGCTGTAAAAGTTAGTATTTTTTTTCAAAAATTTTTTATGAGTTATTAATTTATTTATCAGATATGTAGAGAAGAGATCAAATTATGTAAATTAAGTATAATATAGTTACAATTTTATCTTATTAACAAAATTTATAAGTTTAATTAATCAATTGAGCGACGACACAGTCGAACACATCATTCTAGCTGTGTACGATTGTGTGACCCCCATTACGTGTGGGGAAGATGAGGGCTCCATATTCGACCGATCCGCGCACCAAGGCTTTGAATATGCCAAGCAGGGTCCTCGGGTCCGCCCCCCACCAAACCCCGCTCAATGCCTTCAGAATATTAGCTAGTTTCCCGCACCTCTCCGCCAAATAGCGAACGTGCTACTGTCCTCCCAATGAGTGGTCCAGCAAAACTGCGAGAAATCTGTGCGAACGTGAAGAGTTGATAGTAATACCGTCGAGGGTTATTGCAAAATTAAGAGAAGAAATCCTCTTTCTGCTGAAGACGATGAGCGCTGACTTGGCAGGAGACACCGACAGGCCCCTAGAAAGCAGAAATTGTGAGATTGTTCGCCGTTCTCTCCAAAGCCCTGAGCGAGTCCCGAACGTCCGGGGATCTCGCATATATGGCTATATCGTCCGCGAATTGGACCATCTGGCACCGGCCCGAAAGATGTTGGCTACATTTTGAGACGTAAAGGTTGAATAGAAGAGGGCTCAAAATCGATCCCTGCGGGACGCCCCTGATCGATGTGTAAACCGAGGAGATCTCACCATTATTCACAAATTGGATATTTCTTTGATTTATGAGTTGGTAGATAAACCAACAGACTTTGGGAGGAAGTCCCATACCTATGAGATCCTCGATTAAAATGTTTGGCACAACGTTGTCGAATGCTCCATGTATGTCTAGAAACAGACAGGCCGTGGATTGTCTAGATACAAAGCGGTTGTAAATCTCCGTGGTCAATATGCCCAGGTTATCCTGGCACGACTTTCTCTTACGGAAACCAAACTGGGTGGAGGGAAGAAGTCCCGAGGATTCGATCCACCATTGAAGGCGCGTCAGGATCATCCTCTCCAAAATCTTCAGCAGACAAGATGTGAGCGAGATAGGGCGCAGCTTCCCCGGTGTGGATTTGGGGATAAGGAAGACAAGAGAATGGTGCCACGAGGGAGGAAACAGTCCCCCATTCAAGAGCTCATTAAATATGTCCAGGAGGATCAGCAGATACTCCTCAGGCAGGGCCGAAATTATGCCATAATCAATCTGATATATACCCGAAAAGGAACGCCTCTTGGCATCGCAGATCGCCGACAAAAGTTCCTCATATGTGAAAGGGAACTCGAACATATTACAGCCATGTGTCGAGGGAAAATCGTCGAGCGAGAAAAATTTTTTGTGTACAGAAGATGGAGGATACATGGAGTCCATTGAATTTCGTATATTGTCCGAGATCAGGCAGTTGGAGAAAGAGGGAGGGGAAGCGATACCCAGATGGCGATTCTTGAACCGCTTTATTACCTTCCAAATTGATCTAGTTTCCACCGAAGTCGTCAATCCGATTCTGTTTCGGTGTGCATCGAATTTAACGTACTGTTTTCACTGGAAGTAGAATAGAAGCGAGGAAGATTGATATTTCAGTAGAGCCAACTTAACTTTTGCTTGTGAATGTAAATAAACATAATCCTTGACAAATTTCTCATTTATTTTAAATTTTGATAATTAATACGAACAAACGGTAACTGTTACGAACATCAACATATAGACTATATATCGACTATATATTGATGGTTACGAAATAATGAAAAGTAAAGGTTGACATCATCTACTTTCAAGCGTTTCCATTGTCTAGATTTCGTGTCAATTCGCTGCCACTCCAACAAAGCTTGTAGATCGGAGTGAGAGTGAAATGAACGCAGTCAGTCGTATTTCCATCGACTTAAATTTAGTCCTACGCCGCACTAGATGCGAATTAATACTTCGGTGGAAACTAGACCAGTGTCGCCTAGAAGTAATGTCTTAAGATGCTAATACGGCTCTGTGATTGGTTTAGGACATCTTAAGATTGTGCTTAAGACGGTCTTAGGGCCACCACACAAGCTCTTCCGTAACGCGTTACGTTACGTTAAGTACTAACCGTAAACTTAGATTCGTCCGTAACCTTAAACTTCAGTCAACGCACAGAGAAAAACGTAACCATAACAAAACAAAGATAACGTAGCAAAAGAGTGATCAATGCGTCGTTATATATAAGGTAAGTATATGACATATTTTATTGTAAAAAAGTTTTGTAAATGATTAATTTGATAAATTAATACTCTTATTCATATTTATAACTTTGTTGGAGTAGTTCATTTTCGCAGGTATTGTTAAAATATAACCTCTTATTTTCAAATAACCATACCACTATCTGGGTTTTTTATTTTCGATATTATGTTCATTATTAATTTACATATAATCTAATTACTCATACATATTACTCTAATTTTATTTCAGATAGTTTAACGTTGCATAAAAAATTTGAGATAAAAATAAAGTAGTCCAAAATGCAAAACATGCATCAAAAGCTGTTATTACTTTTATTATTATACATAACAATTTTAATAAAAATTAAGTTAAAACAATAAAGAAAGAATAAGAGATGGGTCAACAGAAGATGGTACGTAAGGCCAATTAATCAGAATAGATTGCATCAAGGGGAGTACCATAATTTATTTAAAGAGCTCATAGAATCTGAGGACAGACATATGTTCTTTGAATACAGCAGAATGTCAATGTTGCAATTTAACAAATTATTACATTCTGTACAACCTCGCCTTATTAAAAGGAGCAAGCGAGCTCTCATTCCAGAAGAAAGGCTCGTTATTGCTCTGAGGTGATTTGTATTTATTTATGTCAGTATGACTAAATTTACTTGTGTTTGGATATTGTAAATGTACTTTTAATAATTCTATTGCTTTACAGATATCTTGTGACCGGGAATTTGATAAATTCAATTGCATTTTCTTTTCGAGTCGGTCAATCCACAGTAAGGAATATAATAAAAGAAATCTGCACTGTAATTTCTGATATTTTGACTCCATTGTATCTGAGAGGTCCAACAGAAGAAGAGTGGAAATCGATTCTTGATGGATATTGGAATACATGGCAAATGCCTAATTGCTTTGGGGCAGTAGATGGCAAACATATTAAATTAAAATGTCCACCAAACTCTCAGGCAGTTGCTATTTTAATTACAAAAAATATTTCAGTATTGTACTGATGGCTATTTGTGATCATGCATATAGATTTAAATTAGTAGACACAGGAGCCTATGGAGGAAACAGCGATGGTGGTATATTTGATGCTTCAGCTATTGGAAAAAATTTGAAGAAAGGCCAGTTAAATTTGCCGAAAGATAATGCCAAACTTCCTGGTAGCAATATCAGTATACCAGGATTCTTCATTGGAGACGCTGCCTTTCCACT